AATAAATACCTTTGTTATTAATAAATAATAATGTTACATGTTATACATTTATGATACTTATGTGTACTGTGTTATTATCAATAACCCTTAAAATAAAATAATTAAAATGGTTTTTACCATAAAATGATTGTAGTTCTTAAAAGGCCTAACTGAAATTAGTATGTATGCAATGAGCCTAAAAACAGCAGGCTGTTTGAAAAAATAATAAGTAGTTCGTAAACGGGCTACCCCATTGCAAAGAGCCTAGTCTTTTTGCAAAAAAACTAATTTTCCATATGGCCTACAACAGATATACAAATAGATAAAGTTATATTAAAAATACACACCCATACTATTTACATAATGATCATTAACTACATAAATGAACACAAAAAATTACTAGATTTAAAATAATTACAGACAAAAATCAAAATTAACAGAAGAAAACACAGTATTAAATAAAACACTGTATTTATAAATATACACTTAAGAGAGAAACTTATCTATAATTAATATACATATACATGAGTACTTTGGTTGGATTCAGCTTTTAGATTATAAAATTAAGAGGTTACTTATTGTTTTAAAAAAAATTACAATATACAATGATAAAATACAAATATTAAAATATTTTTCCTTCTAAAAATAATTCATGCTGAATGAATTATACATATAAGAATAATTCAAAGTATCAGATATTCATTACAGTAAAATAAATATTATATAAAAAAAATTATTCATATCAACATTTTAAAACTAAATTATTTTAACAAAATTTTCATATAACCATTTATTTGTTTATTCAGCAAGTTGCAAAGTTTGTGTAATCATGTGCCGCTTTTCATCATACACAAAGTTGTTATTTTTGAACAATTTGCTTTCAAAAAAAGGTTTAAAATCATGCACATCTATTTGTTTTACCTAAAAAAAAAAAAAAAATAGAATGGTAAATTCCAAACTCATTTTATCACTAAGTAAATAACAAAAATTACTTACTCTGTCTTTAAAGTCTTTTTCATGTATTTCAATTGTGTTAACAGAAACACCATGTATACCTCTAATATAAACTAATTGATCATTTGCCATTTGATGTAATATAAAGTACAATAATTCTGTTACATCTTTTTTGAAAGATAAGTATTTTTGGAATGTCTAAAATTAAAAAAAAAATTCATTAAAAATAAATATCTTGGATTGTGCTATTTATAAATCAATAAATAAATGCACATACCTTTCTCATTGTTTTCATAACACTGTACTTTTGGGTTTCGATAAACGATTCTAACATTATACGTATGGCCATATTGACATCATCTTCTTGAACATAATCTCTCAAATGTATTTTTGCATTGGCTTCTGCCATACGAATCATACTCTCAATATGTCGCACTGTAATTGGTAGACTTCCTGTCATCTATATTGCAAGTCTTAATAAATATCAACAATTTAACATATATATTTAATGATTACCATAGATTCTTGTCTCAGTTGACTATACATTTTAGCCACTTTGTCTTGGTCCATACGATGGAGTTTAGGATGAATGTTTTGTTTGGAATAAACAATATATTTTTTTAACAAGTCTTGGGGAATAGGTTCCAAGTCTGTAGTAGAAAATGGATTCCTTAAATCGCATTCTTTATCCTTATTTAGGGGATGATTACGCATATGTGACTGTACCACAAATGTTGCAAGTTGATTGTCTTTAGCTTGATCAACTTCATCTCGTACAACACATAATACATCAAACCTTGACATAATGGGTTCTGATAAATTCACCTAAAATTTAAATACATGTTTAAACGGTTTAATTTTTAACATGACAAAATTATTTTCTAACATTTTCTGAAAAGGTCATAGCAGGATCATAACGGCCACCAATTGGATTAGCAGCAGCCATAACAGAACATCGTGCCTGAAGTGAAGTTACAATACCAGCTTTAGATATAGAAATGCTTTGTTGTTCCATAGCTTCATGAATTGAAGTTCTGTCATGGTCGTTCATCTAAGAATTTAAAGAGTTTATAGGAGAAATATATTGCAATAAACAATTTGCATAATTAATAGTTAAAAAAATACCTTGTCAAACTCGTCAATAATACAGATTCCTTGATCGGCCAAAACTAAAGCACCGGCTTCTAATGTCCATTCTTTACTTTGATGATCTCGTTTGACATAAGCTGTAAGACCAACTGCAGAAGCTCCTTGTCCAGTTGTAAAAACTGCACGTGGAGCTACTTTTTCAATATATTTTAAAAATTGGGATTTGGCTGTTCCTGGATCTCCACATAACAAGACATTTATATCTCCACGGAGTTTATGTTTGCCACCTATTTGACACATTGTAACATAATATCCAGTTAAAATTGAATAATAACTGTACAATACACAAAAGTACTATATTATATAAACAATACAATTTAAAATTATAATATAGAATTATTATATAAATATATATATTAATTAAATAATAAAATATTTGGGTATCTATAAAATACTGCTGGTTATTATGTATATCATTTACACAAAATATTCAATAAACTAAGGAATTATATAATTTATATAACAAGTTCACAAACCTGGATTTTTTGGTTCACCACCAAATAATGCCAACGCCAAACTTTTTTTTATATAATCATGTCCATAAATGGATGGGGCAATAGAAGCAGCTATACGTTCACCAATCTTATGATCTTTTGACAGCTTCAATATTTGAGATACATCTTCATCAGTAAGAGACTCAACTATATGTTTATTATCCTTAACAATTAAATGATTAGCCATGATGACAGTAGCAAATACTGGAAATCCATTTCCTGTATTTAACGATCCTTCATAACTGTTAGAATATATTCCAGTTACATCTATTTCATCACCAGGTTTACATTGATCACATAGATCAGCTAATAGAACACAGTCTTTGCTTCTTGGTATACGGCCAGGTGGTATAGTACCAGGAGATTCTTGTATGGTAATCCTTTGGTAATTTCTATACAAAGTTTGTTCCATATTAACCTGAAACAATAATAAATAATATCATTAATTATCAGAAGCAAAAACTAATTGTAAAATATTAACCATAAAAGGTCCAGTACTCTGACACTCGGGACATGATCCAGGTTTAATTTCTTGACTTTGAGACTGTACAAACGGTCCCAAAACATGACCACATTTAGAACAATCATACTTAATAATACTAAGTTGAGGTAATACTCCAGTAGTTGAAGTTACTACACCACGAGTTCTGACCAATTGATTCAAATGAATTTTCCTAAAAAGTAAATAAAAATTAATGATTATTTTTAAAATTATGATTTGTAAATTAAATACTTGAAAGTACGAATTTCTTCTATAAGTGGTAAATCAGTTATCCGAACAAATATTTCAGCAGTAACTCTTCCATATTGAGGATACATTGAGAGCACTTGGTCTTTAGCTACTTCATTAAATATGCTGATCATTTCTGAAGGTGCTTCAGGCAAAAAAAGGGCCAGTGTATGTTGTTTATTAGCCAAATTAGTAAATTCTACTTCCAAGCTACATAAATTACTCTCACACATCTTTCTTATTTTATCTTTATACAAATATGAACCACTTTCAGTGACATCATTACGAATAAAATTTCTGAAACGGTTTGCGATTTCAGTTTTCGGGCCTAACATTGTAACCCATTCAGCAACTGTATGTCCTTTAGTATCTTGTAAATTTTCAATAGATTCAATCATCTAGAACAAAATGTAAGAATATTAAATGAGTATTAAAAAAAATACAGGTATAGAACATATTAGCAACGACTTTCTAGTGATTTATTGTTTTATTAATAACTAACATTTTATTAAAAATGAAATAATAAATTTACTAATAGTTTTATAATTAATATAAAAGACTACAACTCTTAAAATTTAAATATAATAATATAAATATTTTTAAATGGCAAATGAAGGAAACTTTGTATGATTAAGTCAAAAGTAATGAAAATTGAAGCATCAAATATAATTATAGTTGTATACAATAATGAGCTTTATACAATACCAAATATATATATATCTGTACTCCGAAGGTAAAGGAAATCATGTCCATTTTTGAAGAAATTTAGTAAGCTTCAGGTCCTTGTACATTTTTCGCTCCATATAAAGGTGTAAGGCACTACGTCAAGTTATCAAAAGTAACAGAAATAAGGAGCAATAAAGTAATTCAAATTAGTCACGAAAAAAAATATATTTTTAGATGAAAATAAACGAAAATTTAACTCCTTGTAAAGTTACTATTTTGTGACATAGTTTAATTTACCTCCGGGGTACAGATATATATATATAAAGGTTTGTTATAAAATATCGAACATTGCTAAAATGTCCCAAAAAAACAATCAAACATTTTAAGTTTATACTTCTTCATCCTGCTCATCATCAACAATAAAACCAGTAGCAGCTCTTTCAGCCATTCGTCGTTTTTTTCTTGAGGCCTCATCATCATCATGTTCATCTGAACAAAATATAAAATTAAATTATACAAAATAGCTTAAAACCTCCAAGTACTACAAACCATAAAGTATGCCATCAGCATCTCTCCTGCCAGTTCCTTCTTCCAAATCACGTCTTTGTAATTCTCTTTCTGCAGCAGCTCTTGCACCTGGACTCATATTATCATAGTCATCTTCATCCAACACATCACCATCATAGCGATCAAGAGCAGGTATTGGACGGTAGTCCCTGTTCAACAAAACAAACATTACAATGCATCCAGTTTAAAACAAATCATATAACTTACCTTTCTAAGTTATCGCCAAATAGTTCTTCTCCATCTTCTTCTTCTGGATCGTCAAACTGACTCAGGCTAAGTACGTCAGCTTCGCTTAGTACCTCATCATCCAGATTTCGCACCGGCGAGGAATCTGCACCATCTTGCATGAAAGGTTCATCAAAAGGCTCTGGACTTTCGGTATCTCTCTACATATTGTAATGCAAAAATTAATAATACATGTCGAAATCGAGATCAAAATGTCGCAAAATGATCGATCACTTACGTCAGACATTTTACTAGCGATGTGTTTTCTGAATGCTCATTAATTGACACACGTTAAGTAAGAACAACCAGCTTAACAGTAATTTTTCGTGACGGATTTAAGTCAAAAACGAGAAATTAAGAGAACACGAATAACAACGTGAATATAGCCACATTAGCACGATCCCATGTAGTCTGGTTACCACCACCGCTCGTCACTCATAGAGGTAAACAATTGAAATGGCGGGAAATGATTAACTAGATGTTAGTTTCGTAGATCGTAATTTATCGGACCCAACGTTTGTTCGCAGTTTTAGCGGCGAAATGTACAATTTTAAAATTTCACCGACCAGCAATAGCGGCCAAAGGTCTTTTACGTAGTAATTAGTACTACATTCGAATACGTTCATTGAATTGAATTTTATATTTACATTCTTGGGTATGTATCGAATATTTCTGTACTCGAGTGAAAATATTTCACACTTGTATTTTACTCGATAAGTAACATGTTTGAGTAACAGAATAATTCACAAATAATTCAAGACACCAGTACAATGTTACTAAAAATTAATTTTAATTTTATCATTGTATACTAAACATATCATATGGAGTAAAATAGCAATAGTTAATGTGTGTTTAACTAGCTGAATTGCCTGGTCTCATCCCGGAGATGTACTATTTTATAATTTATATTGTTATTTAAGCACGAAGTGGATTTTCAAATAATATATGATATTTAGATTTTTTTTCTAAAAAAAAAAAACCTTAAAATAAAATCAAAAATTGTTATTTTATCGAAATTTTGGAGTCCAAATTTTTAGTTAGTGAATAATTTACATGAACTCACTTAAATTAATTAGCTTACAGGCAGTAGATCTCTTCTCACTTTTTTTTCATCATTTAAATATTTGAAATTATAGTTATTGATAGGATAGTTTCAATTTAAACAAGATTTAACTTTTAAATTTTTTTTATTTATCAAAAATTAAATTTTAAAGCTAATAATAATAAATTATTCATTGTAATAGGTATAAATAATATTTTGAAATAACCCAAATAAATTGTCTTTCTAAATTTTAGTTTTAATTATATTAATATGCTATGCTGGTAAAATTGTTGAAGATAAGTAATATATGTAAAATTGTTACTATCATCTGTAATTGAAGTTGATTTAGATTGAAGTAGACTATGAATGACATACATGTACCATCTATGTATGCCTACAATTAAAAAGTAAATCAATTTAATTATGAATAACATCTAAAAATACAATAAATCAATTAAATTTATGTTACTTTAAAGTCTATTACTTTATTTATTTATTTTCATTATAAATATACCTACGTATTTTTAAAGTTGGCAGTAATTTAGTATTCTCAGTAATGTAAATAATATTTTCCAATAACTTAAATCCATTGTTTTTCATTCAATTCTCATTTCTTTTATTAAATAATCAGTATACTATATTTGAATATTAAATATTAATATTAGTTTAATAACTATTTTTTGTTTAGTAAGAAAATATAATATACCTATAATGTAAAAATAATCTAAATTAATTTTACATTTGTTTCTTTTATTTAGTAATAATTTTTTATATTACTGCCACTAAGGATTAGGTAACCGAATAAAAGTACTTATAACCTAGGTAAATTGTATAAACTTTTAAATATTTAACTTTCCCAGTCTTGTAAATTACGAAAATTATTTCCAACCAAAAAACAAAGTATAATGTAAATTAAATCGATTAATATATTACTAATATAATATTAGGTTATGTAGTAGGTAATATATAAATATGAAGAAATGATTAATATTAATTAATATAATACATAATATTGATTTAAATTAATAGATTTTAAATCGTAAAAAACACGAATTATAAAAATCATAAACATTAATTACTTAACATAAAGTATTATGTTCGAAATTCTAACGGTTTACTGCTCGTTTACGTATATCTACCGGTATTATTCAAATTTAATGAACTAAAAAATTGGTGTACAGACTCGTAAGAACAATGTTGATATAAATATCTAATCAAATTTATGAAAACGAATCCTATAATTTAGTAAAAAACATTTAAATTAAAGTAAACGAAAAGGTATCGACCGCGAACCGCGTAGAGATTTCTGGAAAATTCTAGAACGCCGTCGTATTACGGTTAGTACCATAACTGATTCTAGAACGTTCTAGCGCGTTCGACGTGTATTAGTATAAAAGCGACCGGCGTTTTAACCACCGCATCAGTCGTCGCTGTGCTATCAAACGTGTCAGTATTCGCTTTATTTAACGCATCTCAGAATTCGCTGTTGGTATATTGAACATTTCCTCGATTGCATTCAGTGCTATATATTCTATTGTCATACCATTTGTGGTATTCAGTTGGATTTGTGTAATCAATTTCGTTTGCTAAGCTGAATAATCAAGGTATTTAGATGACTTTTTCATTATTATTTTAGTTTTTAGTTGTTAACACTTTAGACGGTAATTGAGTAGGAATAAATTGTCATTTAGTATTAATCCAGAATATGACGTCCTTTGCTTTAATTATTATTCTGTGTTCATCAACATTGTTTGAATATATAACATTGAATTCTCAGTCTGTATTTCCTATTAATGAGTTTAATTAAATATGTTATCTCAATCATTAAACAGTTAGATTTTATTATATATTAATTATCTTGGGCATTAACTTCTGAACTTTGTACTAAATTGTACTTTAATACCATAATGATATTTATTGTCTTTGATGGGGTGTCATTTGTTTTTATTTGTAGACTTAAGAATTCATTTTCAGTCATTTTTTCATAATATTTTAGTTCAATTTCAGGTTCAGTAATCATTGAGTTATGGTATTCAAATAAATTATACTTATCATATACAGATAATATTTTTAAATATTTATATTTAAATATTTTTGATAAATTAATAGATTCTTCATTATCTTTTTTTAATTATTATTTGGTTCTTGTTCTACTTGACTATAATATTGTCTTTATTGCAGATGTCTATTCTACCATTTTTATTGGATGAACTATCAAGACCAACTATTTATGACCAACATTTTGGTCTCAATTTATTAGATGATGATTTAGTGTTGCATCCTCAACAATTGCACCCTAGATACAACCATTCTCCGTCCCTTATGTTGTTTCAAAGACCTTATCGTTCAACTTCTGCATCCCAAGGCTTATCACATATACAAAATGACAAAAACAATTTCAAAGTAAATTTGGATGTTCAACAGTTCAAGCCAGATGAAGTATCTGTTAAGGTTGTAGATGGCTTTATAGTAGTAGATGGCAAACATGAGGAACGAAGTGATGAACATGGTTTCATTTCACGTCAGTTTACTAGACGTTACAAGATTCCAGACAATGTTGAATCTGATGCTATTGTATCTACATTATCTTCAGATGGTGTACTGAGTATTGGAGCTCCTAAAAAGGTGCAATTACTGTTACATATACTTATGTTTATATTTTAACTATACCAATGTATATTTAACTTGATATTGTTAATTTTTATTATTCAGGTGCCTAAGAATGCTGCTGGTGAAATACCAATTCAGATAATCCAGACTAACCAACCAAGTATCAAACAATCTCAGAGTAAAGAAAATAATGAGAAAGTGGACACAAAACAGTAATTTATGACTTGGAATAGTATTAACATTTTGTCTATCTATTAAATTAAGAAACTATTGTTTTCATTTTATTCTATTTTTACATTGAAGACTGGAATTATTAGCTTATTTAAAGTCATTAAATGTGTTCCTTTCTGCTATGTACAATTGTAATAAATTAATATTAGTATGTAATGCATTTAACTAAATATAATAAATAAAAAAATAATTTTCTCCTTTTCAAAATGTAGTTTATTTTTTATTTATTACCTTTTTTTATATTATACATATAGTATTTGTGAAGACAATGTGTGAAAATATGTATTCTTAATTATCTTAGGTTTATTATTAAATGTTTTAATAGACAATTCTATAATCAATAAATTCTTAATTCCTTTCTGTTACCCTAGTATACTGGGCAAGATTTTTTTTATAAAATGCTCTACTTAAGTGGTAGATCTCCAAGGTATCTAGGTACACTCAATAAATATGGTCATTTCACCTTTAATCAACTATGAAAAAAATAACTGGTGTTACATTTTATGTTGAAATGGAATTAACAGTTAATGTAAAATTTCAAAAGTTACTTTCTAAAGAATTATTATTATACATAAACTATATTGATATAATCAAAGTAAAATGATAGCTTGTGTTATTCTAGTGTTTTTATTGCCAAATATAAGAATGTTTTGTGGATTTATTTATGAAAAAATGTAATTTATTTATTTTTTAAATGAATTAATACTTATGTGTTACATATTACATAATATAAGTATTTAGTAGATATATAGGTAAATATTATAGAATAATGTTATTAAACTAATTGAATACTTGAATACTAAAAATGTTTTAACTTATGTGTATTTTAAGCACTGTCTTATAGAAGATGATGATAGATGAAGATATGAGCTAAAAAAAATACATAAAGCTTGTGAATTTGTTAATATGTTCTCTCTATATTATAAAAAAAAATTCCACACTCATTCATAAGTAAAACTCTAGATCCGCCTATAGAGACAGAGTACTGCGCAACTATTTTGGTATAAGCAGTGGTGTAACTACGATCTTAAGGTCTTGATGATAAGGTAAATCCGGTGCCATATAACTATTAAAGCATCATAATAAGTAATTCTTTTTCAATACAGTCTACTTATTAATCATTATATTTACTTATCATTAAATGCGCAAATTAATTTTTTCGCATTAAAAATATCCTCCAAATTTACGTCTATGATAGGTGCCCCTTTTATGTTAGACATCAGCATCCATCCTGATTGTTGTATCACTGTGTACAACAGTCGATTTATTACGAAAAAAGATAAATGTATGAACACAATATTAATACCTTTATTGAACTACTCATAGTCTAAAAGACTATTGTTTCTTTTTTTTTTAAATTGATATATAGACTCATTTGCAATTTCGTTATTCATTAATTATTGAGTTATGATGAATGTATCAATACCAAACCCAACTAACCTCCCCACTAAGTTTAAATTGGAAGTAGTGTTATTTGACTTTCCCTTCCCTCAAAATTTTCATGTCCTGTAATATTCATCTCATCATATTTACTTATTATATAAATTGTATATAGATTGTAAATTTTTCTTAAATAAAAAAAAAAAAAAAAACTTTATTCAGCAATCATCATAGTAGTGCCGTGAGAAAACATAATATTCGAAAATAAAATAACATTATCTGATTAGCCATTCAGATTTAGTATTGATTAAATATACATGTATTTTTAATCAATGGCTTTAGTAAATAACAATATTCAATTTAATTTATATTCTTGGAATTTTTCTTATCGCAGTTTATTTTTATTCTATCGGTTTGTGTATTGTGTACAATTTAGTATTTACCAACGCTATCTATTGTAACATAATTCGTACTAATTTACGTGTTTTCATATTGCGTATAGCTATGGGCTGTCTATGTATGTAATCAATGTTGTAAATAAAGTTAACAATTTGACAGTAGTAAATTAATTTTCTCGGTTTTTAAATAACCTGAAAGTATACAATGTTCATTAAACAGTGTTCGTTTTGAATTTAACGAACTCGTAACTTAAAATATTAAATAAACAATGAATATTCCATACACTGATTAGGAAAATCCGATTTCCCAATAAAATAATGGAATATCGAAAAAAAAATATTAGAAAACGTTTAATTTAAATTGGTGTATCATAGATAGCGTTGTCGGTATGCACGCATACATATTGCATATAGTCTTGTATAAACACGCTTGACGGGTTCGTTGTGAAATAGCGTTTCCTAAACATGCATCATAATTCGTATTCAATTTAGCCGTAACCAATTAATAAAGCAATTACATTATCCTAATATGAATAACATAGAACAGACGGATAGAAAGAGTGAGTGGAAGAGGAGAATTTTTAATTCTAAACCATGTGAATTAAAAACACATTTCGATCCATGCGGTTTATTACCAACATTTCCGCGGCATCGTAAAACGAAAACTAGTATTATTATTTTTCTAAACAAATGTAAATCGTTAATAAAAATAAAATTAATTAAAAAATTAGTGCATTATTATTATTATTATTATTATTATTATTAAGACGAATTATCTAATTATGATAATTATATTGCTGCGAACTGGAACATATAGATAAAATTCACATATCTACATCATTCCGTGTGAGGATTAGAATTATATTATGGCTCTATTCAACGGTTGAGTTAGGGATTCGATACCGACCGGTTTTAAGGAGTTAAATATAGGCAAATTGTGTGTAGTAACCGATTATTAGTTTCAGTGACTCCCGCACCATTGCTCACCTCATTAAAAAGTGTATTGTGTATGCCGATAGTTACGTGTGGTTATTATAGGTGACATATGTAATTGAGTAGGCATGCCACACGATTGATGTCAATAATAATCCGATAAAGAACCGGTGAAAAATTACATAAACAATAAAACTATCTAAATAGTGGGCTGTAGAGAAAAATAACTATTTTTATTTTTTGCAAATATATAAATATGTATAATTTATTTTCAAATATATGTTAAACATACATAGAAAAGCTCATTATTATAAAACCAATAGTACATTCATTATTTTACATCTAAGTAAAGTATATAAAAAAAAAAAGTAATAATAATCTTGTAGTAAGACCGGAGTCATAAAACAGTAATAATACAAAACTAAAATAAAATAATTAAATTTTTATAAATTCAACCCAGTTCTTAATAGAAGACCTCAGTCAAACCGAGAGTCGATAAGTTCAACAAGTAAATATTCCATATAAAATTTCTCTATCTGAGGCTTAATTTTTTCTCTAGAAATAGTAATTTTTGTACATTTTATCAATTACCATCCTTGTACCAAAATAAGAACCATTAAAATAAATAAAATATTATTTCTAAGAAATAGTTAATTAATTTAAACCATACTTTTAGGTGTCCACGCATCAAAGTAACAATACTTTCTTTCTGATAGGTATTTCCAATATCCCCTGTACTTGAAAATAATAACTTTGTGTGGTTATCAATTTTAAAATTCCTTCTTTAAAACTCATAATATTAAATTTTTTATTTTCAAAAGCTTCTTCGGGTGTCATATCTTTAATGGACGGTGGACATTTAATCTCAACTACTTTGTGATTATCGATTAAATCGTCGGAGCTAGCTGCTAAAAATGTTAGTTTTTTTATATACAAAAAGACCACAAGCTGTATATTTACACCTAGTTTAATTTCTAAACATTTTTTCGCAATCGGCTCATTTTCAATTCCATATCTAAATGAAAAAGCTAGGTATCAATTAATAATTATTATTTAGTAGTAAATAATAAGTAAATAAGTAAATAATATGTAACCTTATTTATTTATAACCATGTATTTATAATTGGTAAATTTAATAAAAAATAAATAACCTTGTAGCAACATTGCCGCAAAATACTTCATACAATATATATTTGACAGTATTTTTCCGAGAGGTAGTAGCTTTAGGTTTTATAATTTTCCCGAAATTTGAAGTAGTGAGACGTATTTTACGTTGTCTCCACCATCCGTCACTACTAGATTGGTCTACAGTTCTCCTTTCTAATGCATGCATTTCATCTAAGATGAGTTTTAATTTACTGAGAAAATTTTTTTTTTCTTCATATTCAGTGAATAGCATGTCTACTTTTTGATTTTTGGTTTGAACTGCACTATAGTCTTCATCAGGACCTTGTGAAATAATTTTCTTTTTATTCGAGTTTTTACAAATATTATGATTAATGTTATTATTTATTTTCAGTAAATACTACTATACTAGACAAACCTTGATTGATAAAAAATTAACCACCTTTGGGAAGACTTATTTTGATACTCAATACTTTTGGTTATATGCTGTTTTGTATACATTCCGAAGCTTTGGTTGGTGGCTTTTTTGTGGAAGTACCTTATATAACTAGGTCAGGGTTCGGTAACCTGAGGCTCACGAGCCACATGTGACTCTTTCGATCTTAAGTTGTGGCTCTCCAGTTCCACTCACAAAAATTAATTATTTTATGAACAAAAACAATATTTTATAATATAAAAATATTTATATTATTTTTGTTGCTTTTGGAAGTATAGTACCCGCACAGGCTATCGTAGTAAAATTTTTATTATAGTAATATAGTATATGCTTAACGTTTCACTGCATAATTCATCAAGAGGCGTTTTGTACCCAAACATTCCCGACCAAAATATTTGAGTTCATGAACTTGGTAATTAAAATTATTAACAGCATCTTGAAAAAAATCACTCTACATCGCCAATTTAAAGATTTCCTTGAAGAAATAGAAAGTCAGTATTCTACACAATAAAATACGATGGTTTTTCAGAGGTAACGTATTGAAACGTTATGTTCTGTGTTTGAGAGAAATAAAAACATTCCTCAATGAAAAATGCATTGACCATCCTGAATTGGAAGAAGAAAAATGGCTGCAAAAATTTAACTTTATGGTAGATATCACAAAGAGAACACAAGCTTTTGCCTTGCTGGAATAAATGATTTGTTTCGAAAAAAAATGACTAATTTTTGGTGGAGACTGGAGAGCGACAAATTACTTTATTTTAAAAATCAAAAACAATATCGCGATGAAACCTATGCAAGTATTGACGTAAATTACTTCGGCATAGTTATATATAAAAAAAAAAAGGATGAATTCGCCAAGAGATTGGAACAATTTAAAACAAACAAAATTACTCTCGTACTAGTAAATCCTCTTAACACAAACATACATGAAATCAACATTGTATCATTTGGAGTTGATGCTGGATAGTTTCAAATGCAATTGCTGGATTTAAAAAGCAAAGATTTGTGGAGTGGTAAGTTCACACAACACAAGATTAAATTGGAAGAATTAAAGGTCCAGAAATGTATCCACGCCGTGCAGAACAAGTGGACAGCTCTAAAAGAAATATCGAGAATAGAGTCATTTATATTCGACGTATGGAATAGTGTTCCAGAATCTACAGTGAGGTGAAGAAATTAGCATTTGGAGTGTTGGCAATTTTCGGGTCGACGTATACTGCGTCATTTACGGTTAATTTATTATTTAATGTTGGAGATTCGGAATAAATTATTTCTTTTTTATTATACATTGAACTTTCAAAATAAAATTCAGACAAATATCCTTTGCAAATTTCATGTGTAAAAATTAGATCTTTAAATGATTATTACTACTAAATGGTGTATGGTAAACTGCTGAAGTAGATTTAAAATAATAATTAATGTCGACTATACTTCGACCACTTAAAGTTATTATTTAGAACTCTAAAGGGCAATTCAATATTTAGATTACTGACTAGTTTTTTATAATATCTAACACACTATTTCATGTTTTATTTACCTTAAGTAAAATCAAGTCGAATAATGAATTATAGTGGATAAAAGTCTATACTCATCTGATAGTATTAAAGGGTATAATTTAACCTTTAATTATGTATGCCTAACATAATAAAATAAATTAAATAATTTTGATTCATTTTTTTTAACTATTTTACTCATAAACAAAAAATTTATTAATCATAAATCGTTGCTAATCCATTACTTACTTTATAGAAATATAAAACTATAGCTTATAAAAAATTACCTACATTAGGCTCAATTTTAGTTTTCACTAAGTAAAACTAATGATAATGTGTTCAATTTACAAAAATATTGGCAAAAGAAATCATATTAACATAAATCGGGAAATAATACTTTTTAATAATTGATATTTACTCAGTAATCTAAGATTCATTGAATCGCATGTCATTTATCTGATTTTTGTCGATATTATTTTGATGTTCATTCGGAAAAGTTACAAAATCAGTGTTTTCTGACGAAAAAACATAAAAACACAAAAGTTAATTTTTTCTGAATTGAAACGCATTGTTCAAATTTCAAACTTTGTTTGACTTATCATTTTG